CTGTCTTTCGAGCTCTTCTTTTTAAGGCCAAGAAGATCATGGGCATTCCTTCCCCCAAGGCACCGCAGGGAACGGAAGCGGACAAGGCTGACACTACTGACCCCCTCTTCATCGAGCCTAAGGTGGAGAAGGAGGTGATTCCGTCCCCCAGACTCTTCATAGACGTGATCCAGAACCAATGGGCATCACCAGGTACAGGTCCCCTCCCCAATACCTTGGACAAGCACCTGTATAATGTGGGACTGGAACTCACCAAGGCTCTAGAGGTACCTTCTATTGACTTGCCTATAATTGGCCTTTCTTCTCCTAATGCAGCCTCAGCAGCTCCTGAGGAGACTCTTCATCCTGAAGACAAGAGGATAGAACAAACTCTGGTCAAGGGCCACCAGGCCTCGGCTTGGGCTGTCAGGGCGGGTACCTCTGCTTCTTTCTTCAGTCGCTCTGCTCTCTTGTGGCTAAGGCAACTTCAAGCCCGGGATTCTAGGGCTCGCAGGGACATTAACAAATTAAAGGCATCCCTAGAATACACTGCAGATACATCCTTGGACGCGGCCCATTTTGCGTCCAAAGCTATTGCATCCTCCATCTCCACCCGCCACCTGCTTTGGCTAAAGCAGTGGCAAGCAGAAGCCCGAGCCAAGTGGAGGCTAGCCTCCTCTCCCTATTCTTCCTCTCTTCTCTTTGGTCCCCCATTAGAGCCTCTATTGGTAGAGTCCAAGGATAAGCGAAAGGTCTTGCAACCGGCCACTAAAAAACAAGAGGGCCTCAATCAATCCTTTTATCGTAGGCAGCCCTTTCGTGGTCAGGACGGGGGTGCCTCCACCTCCCGTCCGCAACATCAGGCTCCCCCCAGGCAGGGCCCATCCTTTTCCAACAGATCAGCCAGAAACAACCAGAGATTCCAGTCCAGAAAGTCATTCAGGGACAATACCAACCGCCCCTACAAGAGGCAGAAGTGACTGCCTGGAGGGTCCCCCCATAGGGGGACGTCTGTCAACCTTCGCGGATCGTTGGGATGACATCACCAACGACGCGTGGGTCAGGTCCACAATCAGATTCGGCCTTCTCTTGGACTTGTGCTCCAGCCCTCCGAACCACTTCGTTCCGTGCCCAATCTCCAGGGATCCTCACAAGGGGCTCCTTGTAGAGCAGGCCATCCATCATCTGCTCCACATTCGGGCCATTCAACCTGTGCCTCTGGGCCAGGTGGGACGGGGTTTTTACTCTCATCTCTTTATCGTGCCGAAGTCTTCAGGGGGCTGGAGAGCAATCCTCAATCTCAAATTTCTGAATCGATTCATCAGGTACAGGAGATTCAAAATGCACTCTCTCCTGTCAATCCTGGAGAGAGTGCGCAAACACGATCTCCTCACATCAGTGGATCTCATGGAGGCTTACCTCCATGTGCCCATTCACAAGCGACACAGACGGTTCCTCCGCTTTGTCTATGCGGGCCGTCACTTTCAGTATCGGGCCCTCCCCTTCGGGCTGTCATCAGCCCCAATGGTTTTCACCAAACTCCTGTCAGTCGTAGCAGCCCACTTATGAGCCAGACCCATTTGGATCTTTTGCTACCTGGACGACATTCTCCTGTTGTCCAGGTCTCGCAACCAGGCCCTTCGGGATCTCCAGGATACCTTACAGGTGCTTCAGGAGGTGGGATTCTCCATCAATCAGGAGAAGAGCCGCTTTGTTCCCACCTCTTGTCTAGTGCACTTAGGAGCCCTTATCGACTCTTCTCAGGGGAAGGTCTTCCTGTCTCGGGAACGCCAGATCAGCCTCAGGGACTTGGCCTACGAGGTACGGAGGAGACAGCAGGTCCCTCTTCTCCAGCTGTCTCAACTGCTGGGGAAGATGGTCTCCTGCTTCTCCATCGTCCCTTGGGCGCGGCTTCACAGCCGCTGCCTCCAGTGGTTTCTACTGCCATTCCGGAAAACCAACAGCAGCTGTTCCCTAGTGAAGGTCAGGTTGACTCCAGAGGTCCTCCACTCTCTGGACTGGTGGGTCTCCCCGGCCATCTCTCAGGGGTCCCTCTTCAGGGAACCTCCTTGTCTTGTAGTTACGACAGACGCAAGCTTGACGGGTTGGGGTACTCACCTGGAAGACCAAGTAGCTCAGGGTCTCTGATCCAATTCCGACCTTTCCCACAGTATGATTTGGCTGGAGTTTAGGGCCATCCATCTGGCCCTCCTTCACTTCCAATCCTCACTCCGCAGCACCCATGTGCTGATTCGGACAGACAACACGACGGCCAAGGGGCATGTCAACTGCCAAGCGGGGACGAGAGCGGTATCTCTCATGGCGTCTGCCTTTCACCTAGGGATCTGGGCAGAAGCCAACCTTCTCTCTCTCCACATTGAACACATCTCAGGCTCCGACAACACCAGGGCAGACTGGTTAAGCCACACAACAATCTACCCTGCGGAGTGGAGCCTGAATCATTGCATCTTCAACCAGCTGTCCTCTAGGTATGGGACTCCAGTGCTAGACCTCGTCGCAATGGCATCCAACAAGCAGGTTCCCAGGTACCTGTCTCGTTACACGACACCAGGCGCAGAAGGGACGGACACCTTAAGGTGTAGGTGGCCTCACGGTCTCCTGTACGCCTTCCCTCCCTTCCCCCTGATACAGAGGGTGATTCGGAAAATGATAAGAGGAAGAGGCCGAACTCATCCTAATCGCCCCCCATTGGCCGCACTGACCATGGTTTGCGGACCTGGTCAATCTCTCAGTGGGCCCAGCGTGGCATCTCCCCCTGATACCGTCCGTTCTTCATCAGGGATCCATTCACCATCCCGACCTATCCTGGCTCTGCCTAACCGTATGGAGGCTGAGCGGGTGGTCTTGAGGGCGGCTAACCTTTCTGAGACTGTAATTCAAAGTATTCGGGCTTCTCGATGCCCAGCCACTAATAGAATCTACGATTCAACGTGGCAGACTTTTATTACATGGTGCCTTTCTAAAGAGGTTACTCCCCTGGAGGCTTCGGTCCCCCAGGTTTTGGAGTTCCTGCAGCAGGGGCTTGATAAAGGACTCTCACCGTACACCTTACGGAGGTAAGTGTCGGCTTTTTCTTCGGTTCTCTCCCTGCACTGGGAGGAGTCCCTCTCCTTGCACCCTCATGTACGCCGCTTCATTAAGGGCACGACTAATCTCTGCCCTCCTGTCATACACTGCTTCCCCTCGTGGGATCTAACCAAGGTCGTTGACTTTCTCACTGGACCACCCTTTGAGCCTCTCAAGTTGGCCTCATTGCATCACCTCACATTGAAAACAACCTTTCTGGTGGCCATCACGTCTGCACGGCGAGTCTCAGAATTGGTGGCACTTTCCATCCGATCTGACCCGTGTGTATTTCATTCAGACCGTGTGGTCCTTCGCCTTGATCCCACCTTTGTTCCAAAGGTAAATTCGGCCTTTCATCGATCTCTAGACCCCACCCTTCCGAATTTGTGCCCTAATCCTCCCAGTCTTGAATACAAATGGCACACGTTAGACGTAAGACGTGCTCTTAAGATCTATATTGCCAAGGCTTCGGGGGGAGGAGCCTGCCGCCGTCGGGAGCTCAACGAAGCTCNGGGTTAACTCAGTCAGTAACCAATAGAACTGAGTCTACCAAAGTGATGTCATCACCTCTGAGGAGTGTCCTCCGGCTTTTTTGGACTCAGTTTGATTTGAACTGGCTGTGCTAATTGCTCTTTCCTCAACTTTCTACTTAAAAACTTCAATTGGCTTCTTTAATCAAAATTAATTGGCTTGAATTCATCTCCAAATTGCAAGGAAGAAAAAAAGGATTTCTTGGATTGCTCCTTTTGGAGCCAGGACTCTCAGTTAGCCATTAGGCTTACTGAGGGGAATTGCCAGGGTTTCTTTGAGGCTTTTGCCCCCAACCTTGCCAGCAGCCTCAGAAGTTTCTTCGGGTGCAGCGCTGCTCAGCACTGGCCGTTGGAGGCCCCGCTCACTGCTGCTGCCTCTGCTGGACCTCCCTGGCTCTCCCTCGCATGCCGCCAAGCATGCCAGGAGCCGCCAAGAGCCACCGGCGCCGGGAAGCGCTGCCGCTGCACACCACCAGCATTCCTCAGCGCTCCTGCCGCCGGCGGACCATCGCTGCTGCCTCCTCAGCCTCCACAACATCCCGCAGGGCTTTCAACGCCCTCCCTTGTTCCGCGGCCTCGGCTACCTCGTGGTGCCTGGCCCATAGGCTCTGTAGCCTCAGTGGCCATTTTGTTTTGACGAGAAGACCTCTGGTGGCCATTTTGACTACTCATCGAGCCGTGAGTACAGGCTATGGCCTCTCCTGCCCCTGAGCCTCAAGTGCCTCCACCCACCAATGAGTCCCCTTCATCTGGGGCACACAGGCGCAGATCTGCCCCGGAGGCCTCCCCCACTGAGCCTGCTTCCAAGATCCCGAGGCCCAGTCACAGGGGTATAGCCAATTCACCCCCCCAGGAAAGGGACACTGCCAATCAGGCCCCTCCCAGCAAGGTCAGAGCCAAGAACAAACACACGGAATCCCGTTTATTTCAGGCCCAGAGGCCTGTTCAGCCTAGTCCTCCTCCTGACCTATCTACTGATTCAGTACAATACAATACAATAGCAGAGTTGGAAGGGACCTTGGAGGCCTTCTAGTCCAACCCCCTGCCTAGGCAGGAAACCCTATACCGTTTCAGACAANCTTCTGTTGGATTTATGTCATTTATGTTTTAGGTTTCTTATGTAATTAGAGATGAGGTGGAGAAATACAATCGCAATGGGGTAAATGCACTACAGCTGGATCCAGCATTGAACAGACTTTTTACTGCAGGTCGAGATTCGATCATCAGAATATGGAGTGTAAACCAACACAAGGTAAACTAAGCATGGAATGTACTTTACAAATATGTTTTCACTGTTAGGCATATAGGGAAATGAGCCAGTGAAAATTGTTTACATTATTAAAGAATAGCGTTTGAGGTGTATCTGCAAGTGTTACAAACACTTTATCTTACATTTGAGTATTTATTTATTTTTCTTTAGTTTAAGGACTTCTCAGATTTTCAGATGCCTGGTCTAGTAAAAGAACAGCAAATTTTAGTCTGGGGATGTTACGTAACCATGATTTAATCATAACTTAGCCTGAGTCCACTGAGTAATGCCAACTGAAGTTACACTGAAACACAATATCTTTGTATGTCTTCCCTTTTTCAGCCAGATTTGGCTCCCAACATGACTCCCAATTATTAATCCAGTTACATGGATGGTATGTGATCATATCTTCTGTTATTTTGTAGTTAGTAAGCCCATTCACAAAGGGTGGACCAGAAAAGGTGCAGATGGTTCATAGGGCTGATGGACAATAAATTGATTGATGGACAATCTCACTCGGCAGGAAAAGTTCTTCAAATAATAACAATTCTGTATTTTCTTGGATTAAAAACTAGCTGAAATAATTAAACTGGATCCTGAACTTGTTGGCAAATGATGCACTGACTGCTAACGTAGTTCTGAAATATACACTGTGCACTATTATTAGGCAAGTGAGTATTTTGACAATTTCATTTTTATGCATATTTTCTACCTCCAAGCTGTATAAACTTGAATGCTTAGTGGATATAAGCGTATCAGGTGATGTTTATTTGTGTAATGAGGGAGGGTGTGGCCTAAGATCAACACCCTATATCGGGTGTTGGCAACCCATGGCACTAGAGCTGCATGTGGCTCTTTGACCCCTCCTGTGGCTCCCTGCTGACCCGGTCGTGTGACCTGCACTCTGCCCCGAGAAGGCGTGAGCCTCTCCACAGAGCTGCGTGGCTGAAGTGCCCCTAGCATTTTCTCTGCACTGCCCATGACCAGTTGCTTTTTGCAATTCAGTGTCCTTCGCGTGCAGCTCAGCACCAGCTGCAGTCCCCTTCGTGCCGGCTCAGGAAGGAGGGGAATGGGGAGGAGCAGGTGCCGCCATCGCCAGATGCAGGAAGGGAAGAGCTTCGGCTCTCTTGTGCTGTGCAGCTGGCTACTCACCTCACTGCGCAGTGGCGGCAGTGGGAGGAGGAGTTGCTGTCCCTGCCGCCACCATGATCCCGTCCCAGGAGGGTATCTTGCTTGTGCGTGTGCGAGAAAGAGATGAGAGAGAGAGAAAAGGGGAGAGAAATAGAGGAAAATGAGAAAATGTTGGAGGGAGATAATGAGAGAGAGGAAAAAGAGAAACAATTGAGAGAGAGAAGGGGAGAGAGAAATGAGAGAGAGCTGGAGGGAGAGAAAGAGAGAGAGGGAAAAGAGAGGGAAACAAATGAGAAGGGGGAGAGAAAGAAAGACAGAAAGAAAGAAGAAGAGGAAGGAAGGAAGGAGGGAGGGGGGAGGAAGGAAGGAAGGAAGAAGAAAGAAAGAAGAAGAAAGAAAGAAAGAAAAAGAAAGAAAGAAAGAAAGAAAGAAAGAAAGAAAGAAAGAAAGAAAGAAAGAAAGCTCTCTCAGTCCTATGACGAAAGCAATGGCAACATAAATGTCTTGCCAAGAAAACTGCAGTTTGCCAGAAGGCACAAATTGGAAGCAAGTCTGATTTTTGTAAAGGAAATAACAGATGGGAAAAAATGCATCTGAAAATAAGATTACTTACAATTTTGGTTAATGTATTATATTGTCAAATTCAAAAGAAATCAAAATATATATGCTATTGCTGTTAGTACAATCTTGCCAGCTTCTATCAACTTAAGAGTTCACTATGAAAAGATTACAGAGAAGCAATTTCCCACAATTAATAACTTTATTTTGGATTTGCTATCATATTCAATGAGAAAGAAAGAAAAGAAACAGGGAAATGGAAGGAAGAAAGGAAAGGAAGAGAGAGAAGAGAGAGAGAAAGAAAGAAAAGAAAAAGAAAGAGAGGGACAGGAAAAAGAGAGAAAAACAGACATGGGAGGGTGTGTGTGTGTGTGTATGTGTGTGTGTATGTGTGTGTGTATGTGTGTGTGTGTGAGAGAGACCCATTTCCCACAGAAAACACCAAGAGCCATGAAACCTGGGTAGGCGTCGCTGGGGGGGGGGGTGTCACGTGACTGGGTGAGAGTGACCTTGAGTTGGCTACGCCCAGCCAGGTTTTGTGACTCCTAGTGTTTTGTTTTCTGTGGGAAACTGGTCCAAATGGCTCTTTGAGTGTTTAAGGTGGAACCCTGCCCTATATCAAGGTGTGCATAATTATTAAGCAGCTTCTTTTCCTCACGCAAAATGCGCCAAAAAGGAGATTTAACTGACTCTGAAAATTCAAAAATTGTAAAAAGTCTTTCAGAGGGATGCAGCACTCTTGAAATTGCTAAGATATTTGGGCGTGATCACAGAACCATCAAATGTTTTGTTGCAAATAGGCAACAGGGTCACAAGAAACGTGTTGAGAAAAAACGCACATTAACTGCCAAAGACTTGAGAAGAATCAAACATAAAGCTACCAGGAACCCATTATCCTCCACTGCCGTCATATTCCAGAACTGCAACCTACCTGGAGTGCCCAGAAGTACAATGTGTTCAGTGCTCAGAGACATGGCCAATGTAAGGAAGGCTGAAACCCGACAACCACTGAACAAGACACATAAGTTGAAACGGCAAGACTGGGCCAAGAAATATCTGAAGACAGATTTTTCAAAGGTTTTATGGACTGATAAGATGATAGTGACTCTTGACAGATGGGTCTGTGGCTGGATCAGTAACGGGCACAGAGCTCCACTTCGACTCAGGCGCCAGCAAGGTGGAAGTGGGGTACTGGTATGAGCTAGTTGGACTTTTTCGGGATGGAGATGGACTCAAAATCAACCTCCAAACTTACTTCCAGTTTTTAGAAGACACTTTCTTCAAGCAGTGGTACAAGAAAAAGTCTGCCTTATTCAAGAAGACCATGTGTCAGGCCTGCAGTCATTCCTTTTAGGATTTTGGCCTGCCACACTTTCTATTATTTTACTATGCTGTTTCATTAGTGGGGAATAGGGAGGGGGGAATAGTAAGGAGCAGAATGTGTTGTTGTCAAAACATTCCTTTCTAGCAGCCCAAGGTTATCTTTTGTCTCTGCACCTGACCGGAACTAGATCGGTGGAAATGCCAGTGTGGCAGAGGAAGATTGGACCATGTGATGAACTTGTGGGTGTGGGGACAAGATCATGAACTTTCAACTGGGTGGAAACCCAGGAAGCTTTCCAACATGTCTCTCT